TATCTATCTATCTATCTATCTATCTATCTATCTATCTATCTATCTCTCTATCTCTCTATCTCTCTATCTCTCTCTCTATCTGTCTCTGTCTCTGTCTGTCTGTTTGTCTGTCTCTATCTATCTATCTATCTATCTATCTATCTATCTATCTATCTATCTATTTCTCTTTCTTTATCTATCTATCTATCTATCATCTATCTATCTATCATCTATATCTATGAATGAATGAATGAAATATTTGCTACTGGCCCAATTTAGCAGGAATGAAGAGGAATTTCTCAAGCCTTTCTGAAAAGTAACCACCCACGAAATTGATAGCCTGACTAATTTTTATTTTGATTGACAGCCATATTGAACTTGTGGAAGACCTACAATAAAAGCAAAATTGCAGCTGTCTGTTTTTATCCAATCCCTACTGTATCACTGGAGGTTTGATGTATTTTGTAACAAATGCTGTTTAATATCCCCTGCTGCACAGTGAATATGGAAAAAAAGAGAAACATTCTGGGAACATGCTGGTGTCCCTGCAATGCCCCATCGCTGGCGAAGGTTTTGTTTCGAAAATGCTACTTTCAGGATCTGCAGATGTCAATCTTCTGTCGAGGCAATTTAGGAAAAATGACTACCTGTGCTTCTAAGACTCTAACAAGTAAATTACACGCAAGAGGAACCCTAAAAGAATTTCCCTTCTGTCTATAGCAATATGGAAGTCACCGTACAACATCGTCAATCACTTAATTATTTCTTCAGGAAAGTTTTGAAAAGAATGGGCTTTCCTTTAAAACAATAAAAAAGTTGGTCTTTTGGGTGGATTAAGGCAGCGTATTAAGTGGAAAACCTCTTCTGGGTGAAAGATTCAAGTACAATTCCTGGCCAACTTTAAAGTTTTGTAAAATAGGTATAGTTTCTTGGCTGAAAGACGCCCTTTTCATATAGAAAAGAGAATAGAGTAGAATAGAATTGAACAGAACTGTCTGGAAGGGACCTTGGAGATCTTCTAGTCCAGCCCCCTGCTCGAGCAGGAGAACCTACTATTTCAGATATGGCTGTCTAGTTTCTTCTTGAATACCTCCAGTGATGGAGCACCCACAATTTCTGGAGGCAAGCTGTTCCACTGGTTAATTGTCTTCACTGTTAGGAAGTTTCTCCTTAATTCCATATTGCTTCCTTCTTTGGTTAGTTTCCATCCGTTGTTTCTTGTCCTGCCCTCCGGGTGATTTGGAGAATAATTTGACCCCCTCTTCTTTGTGGCAGCCCCTCAAGTACTGGAAGTCTGCTATCAGGTCAGCCCTAATTCTTCTTTCCTTTAGACTAGCCAGACCCAAAACCTGTAGCCGTTCTTCTTATGTTTTAGTCTCCAGGCCTTTGATCATCTTAATTGCTCTTCTCTGAATCTTTTCCAAGGGCTCAACAATGTTTTTGTAGTATGAGGACCAAAATTGGTTTCAGGATTCCAGGTGTGGTCTTACTAGGGTTTGATAAAGCGGTACTAATACTTCATGTGATCTTGATTCTATGCCTCTATTTATGCAACTCAGGAGTGTATTACCTTTTTTTGGTTGCTGCTGCACATCATGCAGTTAGGAATCCAAGGTGCCTCTTTATTATTTATTGGGGTCTTTGTGTACAATTAGTTGCAGAGGTGTCAGAGGGGGAAAAAGGACCATTGCAATCGTTACCAGGCTGTGGCCTACTTGGAACTGAGCCGTGCAAGCAGTGGGGCGAACAGGTGTGCAACTCCACTTGTCTGAGCAATGGGTGCTCATGGTAGAGCGTGAAGCTCCATTTGGGTGAGCAGCTGGTGTGCGTGCACCCACCACTCCCACAAATGGAGCTGCACGCGCAAGCACTTGCACATGCCACTCACACAGAAACATCCCCTCTCCCCTCTCCTGCCATTCTGGAAAGATTGGGGACCGCTGCTATAATGGAGGCAATATAATGACCCCGTAATCCCTTGAAGGATGGGGGACTGAATGGAGCTGTGTGTCTACTGGCCGGATGCCTTTCCTGTCACCAAGGCGGAGTTATATTCAGCGGTTATATTTCCAACGTGCCCAGAGAGAGAAATATCTGTCTCTCCCTAGGATCCAACTCACAGCCTCCTAGTTAGAGGTGGTACTCAGCAGGTTCTGACCACTTCTGGAGAACCGGCAGCAGAAATTTTGAGTAGTTTGGAGAACCGGTAAATACCGCCTCTGACTGGCCCCGCCCCCATCTATTCTCTGCCTACTGAGTCCCAGCTGATGGGGAGGGAATGGGGATTTTGCACTAACCTTCCCCTGGAGTGGGGAGGGAATGGGGATTTTG